AAAAAAAAAAAAAAAAAAAAAAAAAAAAACCACTCAGCTTCTCCTAGTATAGTTTCACAACACAAAGGTCACCGTGACTCACTATGTGGGAGCTGTGCATACACAAGAAATCGAGCAGCTGTGCAGCGGGGTCTCCTGCCGGTTCCAGCCGGACATCCGCTCGTCAAACTCAGTTCTGCCCTGGTCACCTGGAGGGAGGGGACATCAGGTCCTAGAGGCAGAGAAAACTCGATCCAGGAAAGCTCTGTCCACAGGAGACGGGAGCCAAATGCCGAGCCAGGCAGAGGGACCACGGGTGCTTTGCCTGGGAGTCTCCGTCTGCATCACCGACAGCTCCGGCTAAGTGTGCACCCCGGCTCCCCCACTTCCCCACCTACCTCCACCCCCGACCGTCCCTTTGAGTCGCGTGCTGTATGGGCGTGGCTCTCATGTGTGGGCCATTAATAAAACTTGTGGTTTTTCCCCTTGATCATCTGTCATTGCCAGTTTATTTCATAGACTCAAATGATCAAATCCTGTAGGAGAAACAAAATTGACAATTTTCCTATACCACTTCGTTATGGCTTACAGCCAGACGCCCCCCGCCCCCCACCAAACTTTGTGCCCTCAGAAGTGGGGGGAAATGATAGGACTACAGGCTGGCTGTAGGAGGTGGGGTCTGGCCAGAAGAGGGGTCACGGGGTGAGGCTTCCCACCTCCTCCCTTGACCACTTTGGTCTCCATGAAGCGAGCAGCTTTTCCTCTGCTCCACCCTCTGCCATGCCGGCCTGATTGGGGCCAGTGAACTGTGCACTGGAAGCACGAACCACAACAAACTTTTCCTCCTTTACGCTGTGGTGTTATGGATGGGTGCTGGGACTCAGGGAGGAGGAAAGTGATCAAGACAGACTTTTGGTACCAGAGCAATGAGGTCATTGCTGTGACTACCTGACCAGGTGATTCAGAAGCCTTTGGAACGGGCTTGCCAGAGGAGTTGGGAAAGGTTTGGTGATGCTGGCTGGAGAGACAGCCCTAGAATGCTGCAAACCAAGCTTGATGGGTGAGTCTGGTCAGAATTCAGAAGATCAGAATGTGGGTAAAAATGCAGATAGTAAAACCAAGCTCAGGAGGTTTTATTTGGGAACAAGGATTCCATTGGCAGTTGTACTCCAGGCCATGTGTAGTGTGCTCTGGAAGAAAATTTGTCTACATTTCGCTTACGTCTTTAGACTTTGCAAGACACTGAGATTAGGGGCGGTGGGCTAATTAACCTGGCAGAAAATTTCAAGGCAGCCCAGCATTCAGGCTGTGGCATGGATAATGTTAAGGGTCCTTTTAGCCAGTGCAACACTGAGGTTCAAGAGAAAATAGCACAACTGAGTGATTTTTTTTTTTAAGTTTTGAGTTTAGGCAGAAAGGAAGCTCCCGTAAAGTTGGAACTTGTAAAATTGGAACAGAGGAGAACTTGGCTGCTGAAAATGTCACCATTAAAATGAAGCCAAGTAGTTTGTATCAGGACATTGGGAAAAAGGCCATGAGGTCCTGTGAGAAACTAGCAAGCCCTCACCTTTTATAGGCTCAAAATTATAAAAGTAGGATTTTGCTTTGAAAAGAAAGTCCCAGGGGCCCCTGCAGCAGAGAAGTGGCCCAGAGAAAGGCTCCTAGAGAACGGATTTCCTGGCATTGGGCTCATCGTGTTCGGCCATCCAAGCAGACTTCTACAGCCGTGACCGAAGGAAGCCTGACCACTGCCCCAGCTGACAGCAGATCTTGGTGTTATCCACGTGGTACTGGTTTGAATGCACGTAGAATGCGAGAGTTGTGGGGTCACGGAGGAGGCCTCCACCCAGATTCCAGAAGAAGGCTGGGGGGCAGGCAGTGTGTCCAAGGGGGTGGTGTGGAGCTGTGAGAGTGAAGCCAGAGATGCAGTGGAGACCCCGGGAAGATGGAGAAGCCAGGAGCCTGGATGACTGGGGAAAGTCACAAGAGTGAGCAAAGCCAGCCCGAGAGAAGCCACGGGTGTGTCCGTGGCTACGGTGAACGGGGCGCTGCCCAAGCCGCTTAGAGTCTGCACTTGCCACGGCCTCCTTCAGGCGCTGGACACAACTGCAGGATTTATTGTCTTGCTGAGCATCAGTCTTGCTTTTGTCTGATTTCTTTCGTCCCCATATTCCGCTCTTGCCTTTGCCCCACGATTCCTCTCCACATAGCTTACATTTGCCCTGTGCCTGTGTGTGGTGGCGGAATTTAATTTTGATTTTTACAAGGGCTCACAGCTGAGAGGCTGCCACATGTCACAGAGGAGACCTGGGGCTTGGACTTTCCTGCAATGTTTGAACTGTTAGAAACTCGGCGCTTCTTAGAGATGGACTCAGTGGAATTTGTATAAAGAGGTGAGCGTGAGTATTTGGGGGGCCGGGACAGAATGGTGTGCTTTATATGTAGCTATGCACTCAGCTGGGGCTTTGGAAGGTGGTTGGGTCTGAGGGTGCGACAACCGACTGTCAGGAGCGGTCCAGCCCTGTGGGTCACACCCGGAGGGGCTCTCCCTTCAGCGCCTCCCTTGAGTCTGGGTCTCTGAGGCCATGCTGAGGGCTGCTCCCCTCTGTGCCCCTCTTCCATGCTGCTTTGCCGGAAAAGTGAGCCAAAATAACCTTTTCCCCCTTTAGTTGTCAGATATTATTTTTCCCCATCTGTGAGAGTTGTGCCTAAGACACAGTGCATTTCTGAGCTACCAAATGTGAATTGGAGGTCCCCATGACTCCTTCCTTGGGTTGATTAATTTGTTAGAGCGGCCCGGGGAACTCAGGGAAACACCGACTTGTTTCCAGCTGAAGATGAATCTCACACGTGTATCCTGATGGAAAAATACACAGGGTGAAGTCGGGGAGGAGAGCACAGCGCCCCCACTGGACAATAGCGGAACAGCTGGGTTTGTGTGGCAGGAGCAAGGAAAGAGGGCGAGGAAAAAAAAATCCCTCTTTTAGGGCCAGGGATTTAGCTCAGTGGTTTTGCCGCCTGCCTGGCAAGTGCAAGGGCCTGAGTTTGATCCCTGGTACAAAAAAACAAAACAAAACAAAAACAATCTCTGCGTGGATCCCCAGTTACTTCAGGTTGCTTCCCTGCAGGGTTAAAGCAGTAGAAACGTCCTCATGATATCCCCGGCGGACTGGAATAGACTGGTTTGGTCTACTCCAGTCTTTTGGGACTTAGTGTAGCACTCAGCGCCCAAAAATGGCCTTCTGTAATTTTTAACAGCAGATGTGATCGATCAAATTATAGGTCCTGGGCGATCAATCTCTCTCTCTTCCTCTGGCGGTGACGGACAGTGCCAACCCTCTAATTGCAGGCCTGCGGCCCTGGTCCTCCTCCCCGCCTGAGGCCATGCAGAGCCTGCAGCCAGGAGTCAATCAGCAGGTTCTCAGAGAGAGGCTTATCACTTTGGAGGCTGCAAAGACTTCAGGAGGCCCACAAAATGCCTCTGTGCCCGGAGAAGGGGACCACACGCGTATCTGACAATTGCCCTGGAGAGAAATCCGGTTTCCTCGAGCACAGATGGGAAATAACCTTAACTATTATGGCTCCCATATTTCCTGTCAGGTTCTGCTGGACCCTGGGCCTCGGATTACAGTAAGATTCACAGACGCTATTATTATTGTCACTGGTGACTTATAATTAGTTACAGTGAGGAGAAACAGTTACAATACACTGAAATACATACTTGCTCATAAACCTGCATGAATTAGGTTACAGCTTGAGTTGTTCTAACAAAGACCTAAATAAACACAACAGGATGTTTTTCTGTGTCACCATAAGCACCGGGGCTGCTGTGGAAGGCGTGGTCCTCACAGCCACACCAGAAGAGATGGCCCAGGTCCAGTTCGGGGACTCTGAGTGTCCCTGTAAAAGTCAGAGTTACAGTCTCGAAGGGCAGTCTTGTGGTTCTCATTCCGGTTCTGACGTGTTTCCTACCTTTTGGTCCTTTGGTCCCGAAGCCAAACCATAGTCTGGCTAAAAAAGTTCTTGAGACTGAAGACTCTCCTCCCTTTCCTTCTGGCTGTGTGGCCTTCAACTTCACTCGGTGTCACAGTGCAGCGCTGAGGTCTGAGCTCTGGTGAGCAGCAGCTCTATTACCCTGCCTGGCTCCCGTCACCTGGTGAGGAACCTCGAGAGCCTGTACAAAAGAAGGATTGTTCTCTGCGGCAGTTGGCTTTCGAACTGGCTAATTCTCACCTGGATTCATCTGACTCACAGGACTTGGCTAAAAGCAGCCCACACACATAAATATTGACTTTTCTCAA